TGGCTTTCCTTTTGCTTCACTAACAAAATGTTGCTTTCCTTCTCATATTTTACCCCATAAAAAAATATGCAACCCATTCCTTCCTAGTCCCTGCCTATCCTTACTTCCATCCCACTTCATAGAGGTTAAGTAACAAAACATTCACAATCCCGTAGCTTTCCAGCCAAGGACCTGATATGCATACTTGTAGCTTTCCAGCCAAGGACCTGATATGCATACTTGCTAAAGCTCTTCCAGGCCATTCTAAAACTGTCACCTCCTCATACACATGGGGAGTAGGGGAGATTTTCATAAATCTACACATGACTTGGAGACAAAATAATGGAAATGCTGTATCTTGGGGCACATGTATGAGGATAAACAATGTTGTCATTTTCCTTGATCCTGTAAAGCTCTCTAACAATTCCTCTGATTATTAACCCTCCAGCAGTAGAGAGGCAGGGTAAGGGAACAAGCTCTATGAGCAGCCTTTATGTTTCTCCTCATCCCACCCTACCATGGCTAGCACATTCTTTCTCTCTGTGTAGGGAATTTCAAGTACTAATTATCTCTATACACATGGAGACAAAGACTATCCTTTTTTTCTCATTAACCAAACCCTTGAACTTCTCTGCTATTTTAGGAGGGGTAAACCACCACCACCACCTTATAGGTGCAACTCTCTTTTTATGACGATACCCAAACTCTTTCTATAATCACAAAGGCACAGGGCAGGACACCCTAAGACAGAGTTCTGAATCAAAGCATCCCTGTCCAAATTTCAGTGTCCCAAAGCACTTGCTAAAATTTATAATTTTTCTCAACTCTTTCTCTCTGTATATGTCACAATAGGGTAATTTTACTCACCTAACAGATAAATGTGAGAATTATGTGCGCAGACAAACTTGTATATGTGCATGTCTGTATGTATACTGGTACAGGGCCACAGAGAACTAACTCAACTAAGGTCAAAAGAGTATTGGATCCTTCCTCCTACATTCCAGCAGCTCCAAAATGGTGTCAGAAGATAACACATAATGTTTAAGGGCATGGACTATTATCATAATGAATTTATTGTACAGTTTAGTATGTAATGTGTAATAATAAATTCATTAAATACCACAAAATGAATACTAATTTACTAAACAAGCTTACTTTTATGAAATAAAAAAGAATATCTTATGATTTCAGGAAATTATAAACTATAAACATTCTTTACATTAGGGAAAAGCAGACTAGCAATAGGCCAAGGACCTATGCAACTAGCAACTACCACATCTTTTTGAAAAAGCAGCTAAACATATAGAATAATGGAATATTAAATAGGGACTGAAGGGATATTGTTTAAGATCAACAGGACTGGGGCAATTGAAGGGATCACGTTTTGAGAACTGGCAGGCCAAAGAATATAACAGAGACTATACTGAAAGCCAAATACAGTAATTAATGAAGCTGAGGAAGGTCACAAATAAACAAGGATCCCACAAAGAACATGTCGCATGAATTAGTTACAATAACAACTGCATGTTTTCCCACTTTCTTTAAAGTGAAAACAAGGCATGGTTTAGAACCATGTGATTTTTGCTGCTTGGAAAGAAAGTACAAGCAAGCATTTTTCTTTTTTTCTTTTTTAAAAAGGAGCCAGGATACAGGGTTTTCTTGATCAAATGCTCCAAGAACAGGAGGTTTTTAGAAATGAAACAAGTAGATTTCATATTCTGAATTTAATTCCCCATTTCAAACCAATCAAAATTTTAAGATACAACCGTCATTAGTTGCTCATGCTGTTTTTCTAGTAAAAATTCAGCTAAGCACAAGAAAAGTGCAATCCAAAGGGAAACAATTATGAATGTGCCAAGGGACAACAGCATGCACAGCCATGGCTTATTACTATTTATTCAGTCCAGATTCAAACAAATATATCATTTTTTAATCTGCAGTCTACCTCATCTTGTCAGAGCCAGTGAAAAGATGGTGCGTATAGGCACAGTAATGGAAGTCCCAACAGTACATAGTCTTGCTTTGTGCATTTCTACTTATTTCTGTTTTCCTCTGCAGAGCCAATATGACAGCACATGCTAATAATCTTTAATAAATTTACTGGAAGCATGCAATACGTTGAAAGATGCTGTATGCAGAGAGACACCGAAAGGCAGGAATTTAACTGGAACATGAAAGTTTGGGAAGAAGTGATATTAAAAAATATTCAAACAAAAATCCATCAGATATACCTTTATTGGCCAACCGAAATGCACAATATACTTGTTGCAAGCTTTCAAAGCTCCACTGGTTTCTTCATCAGGCAAGATATTACAAACCAAACAGGAGAAAAACAATTGGAGATGTAACTCAGAAGAGCTTCGAAAGCTTGCAACAAATATATTGTGCATTTTGGTTGGTCAACAAAGGTATCACTGTTTGGTGGATTTTTGTTTGGATTTGCTAAATGGCCAACACAGTTCCCCCTACACACACACACACACACACAAAAGAAAAAAGGGAAAAACTTTCAGAGAAAAAAGCAAAAAGCCACAAATCCAGAAATCAGTTCAGATACGATGGTTTAGTATATTAATAATGTATGAAGCTGTCCTGCACTTTATCAGACTTCTGTTCCATTTATCCAAGGTAATCTCGTACATCCAAGGTACCATCTAGATCAAGCTGCCTCAAGCTGGTACCCTTCACATGTGCTAGACTACCTTCCATTACCAGCGGTTCTCAAATAGTGGGGCGGGCCCCCCGGGGGGGCGCGAGGCTCCGTAAAGGGGGCCCCGTTATGGCTGGAGAGAGGGAGATTGTCCCAGCGCAGCCCCAGTAGCAGCCCGACGTGCTCTATCCTGATTGGTCAAACCGACCCATGTGACTATTTACAGTCGCGCGGAGGGGCGCGAAATGTTTTCTTCTTTCCTGGGGGGGCGTGACAGAAAATAATGGAGAAGCACTGCATTACCAAGGCTATTGGCCATGCTGACTGAGGATGATGGCATATCTGTTTTTGCATATCTGATTTTAGTTTTGTGTATTAAGGTATCGACAGCACCTCCCTGCAGTAACAGATATTTCACATCTTTCCTCCTGTAAGGTTTGATTTGCAGATGACAGGTCCTGAACCTGCAGACTTCTTCACATTGTATGGATAAAATGAGAAACTGAACTACAGTCAGAGAATCCCTTAGTTAACCCAGGGGATTCTGGGAGTTGTAGCCCAAAGCCTAACTTTTCCAAGTTCTAGCTAAAATAGGATCAAGAACACAAAGGCACATATAAATTTGAGGCCACTGGGGAGAAACAAAATCCCTCACAAAATTTTGCAAAAAGAAGATTTATTGTTTGTGCATTTTAAGTATTTCTGTATCACCTCCCAGTCCACCAGGGCTCCCAATGAACAAATAAATAAACAAATAAAAACCAATTATGAACAATACAGTGGGCCCTTGACATCTGCTGAGGTTTCATTCCAGGACCCTGTGAATACAAAAATCCATGGATGCTCAAGTCCCATTAAATACAATGACATAGTGAAATGGTGTCCAAAAAGGTTTGCTTTTTGGAATTTATATATTTTAAAAATATTTTCAAGCCATGGATGCTTGCTAAAGAATATGTGGATATGGAGGGTGAACTGTACAAAGATATAAACATTTTTAAAACACATTAAAATACTCTTTAAAAGCTCCTAAACCAGTTTTGAAAAACAGCTTCAAACACTGAATGCTATGTGGAAAAGCACTGTTTTGGCTGCCCACTGGAAGCCAGCCTAACTTCCTTGGGTAGGAAGTTCCATAGATGAGGTGCTGCTATAGAGAATATCTGGTCTTTAGGCCTCCTGGCCTTCTTTCCTTACCTGGCTTCTGTGACGCTGGCAATGTCTGTCCCAAGGAAGTGTGGTTTAGGGAGCGTAGTCACAAAGTGAAGATTGGAAGGATTAAAAATCCGCACAGTGCCATCAGCACAGCCACAGAAGATGTAGTCATGGTTCACAGAGATACAGTTGGCCACAGTAGTCTAAGAGTACAAGATAATGCAATGATCAGCATTCTTCACAAAGACATAAAAGACAACAAAATGTCAGGAAGAAGTAAAGGAGGAAAAGGCAAAAAATGAGAAGCGAGATGAAATGAAGCCACCTGATGAAAGGAAGAGTTTCAAAGTCATTTCTAAATACATCTATTTTCAAATGATAGTTTCCTATACCTTCTAGGACAACCATTTTCAGCATTCTTTCTATTCCCATTGTTCAGGCTGTAAGTCACATTGCTTACTGGGGAGGGAGGGGAACAGTACCATTCCAAAGTATCAATTAGTGAGATTTACAAGTGCAAGGGGAAAAAATTAGGAAAAAAAACCCAAAGGGGAAGGGTCCCATAAAAGCACTCTAATGGCTACAGAGTATTGACTTATGGTGGTTACAGGGAGGCAAAAAAACTAGATGGGAAGGGAAATGGAATGGAGTATCAGAAGGACATGGTTTATTGATTGGGACACTTGACATTGCAATATTATATTGTAGGTTGCACACATATAAAAGTTTTTGTTTTTTTTTTACAATGTGGTGCATCAAGAGAGGAAAATGAACATTCATCCTGGCTTAGATTCAGACCTATTCCACGTATTTGTTCATTTATATTCTAATTTAATTTACACTATTGCAACAAAGAAAAATGATGACAAATGGGAGGTACAATGAGAAGTGATGTGCTGGAGATATGACTTTATTCTGACTTACTGTGAAGCTGTCTGTGTTCTAAGTAAAAGATAAGAGGTGATTTCAGTGAAGAAAGGAAGAGAAAGAAAGATACAGACATTCAGCTCAGTATGTGTAAAGGTTTCAGCTGTGCTTTGTTTTTTATTTTTAACCCCTACCAACATTTGAAAAGGCAGGAACCACTTTCACAATGTTTGTTGTTGTGTGCCTTCATGTCATTTCTGACTTATGGTGTCCCTAAGGTGAACATATCATGGGGTTTTTTTGAAGCTGATAGAGTGTGATTTGCCAAAGATCACCCAGTGGCTTTCGATAGCAAAGTAGGGATTCGAACCCTGGCCTCAGAGTTGTAGTCCAATGCTCAAACCACTACACTGCACTGTTCACTTTTCACAATGTAGTGCAGCATCAGTGTTTACACAGAATGGATCCAGAAAATTAATATCATTAGAAAGTCACAGGGTTGTTTAACACCACGAATGTCAATTGACAGGGTGGCTCACAGAGGATTTATGCTTCACCAAAGCCCCTGTTCCTCAGTTCCCCCTATCCCTTTACAATTTTTGAAGCTTGGTACTAATAATGCAAGACTGGATAAAATAAACATTGTAAAACTACCCCAGGAGTTAAATAGCTTTAAAGATTTATAAACATTGCTTTTGTTGCAGGAAAAAAAACATGCATTAATGTACTGTTAAAACAGTCATTGCAGACAATTTTCATGAAATATTTATAAGGTCCCTCGGCTGCCACTATCAAGAACTCATTTAGGACTATGCCATACCTGGGTGATGGAGGCTTTAAAGCAGGGGTGAGCAAACTGGCTCTTGAGACCTCCCAGAAGACCTCTCAGCATCAACAAAACTATGTTTTTAATTGGGGAAGGTGATTTGTGGGCAATTCTTTGCTCCCAAATGGGCCACAACTGCCTTAAAATGCAGTATTTCTTCCCCACCTCAACCCTACAAAGTCCCCCAAACACCAAAGAAGAGGGGGAAATGCCCCAAATTGGCCAAAATTGTGGCCAAAAGTGACATCATGTCACTTCAGGTGTACTGAAACTTGCTATCACAGCCCACTTAATGAGTGCTGGGAGGTAAAATGCTTTTAAAGTGCCTCTTTAAGAGTTAAGTGTCTCTATATACAGGGCACTATTGTCCAAAAACTTTATGTTCCCCCTTCACATGTAAAGTAGAGAGTATGGATAGATTTGCAAGGGCCAAAGGTCATCCATGTGTCAAGGACTTATTAAACTCTGTGAGAATATTCCTTCTGGTTCAGGATGTATCTCCTAGCCAGTTTCATTCCCAGTAGCTAAACCCAACTGGGAGAAATATGCCGGTGTGTGACAGATGGTAGAGGGAAATATCGGATCAGCACCCACTGACTACATACTCCTTTAAATTGCTTCTATCACTTCACATGTAAGTACATTTTATTTCTCTGCATTTTTATTTTACTTCTTTTCTTCCACATTGAGGCTTCCTGGATAGTCTCCCATCAAGACTGTGGCCAAAACAAGGCCTTTCTAATTACATTCCTGGAAGGCTGTATCATGTGCCTTTATCAGAGCTTAGAAATTACATTTTGGACAACAACCTCCAGAATATTGCCAATTTATTGTTGGCAATAAATTCTGGGAGTTTAGTTTTTTAAAAAAATGTTTCTGAGCTCTGCTTCAGAACTCAGCACTTGGAATACCCCTATCTACCCCTTTCCACAAACAGAAGTCCAAGGGTGGCAGATGCAGAACTTACTCTCAATTCGACCCACTTGTCCAGCAGCCTCTTTTCATTGAATTCACAGAGGAGACCTGAAGATGTGATACAAAAAGTGCTGTCTGCTTTTTTACCCCTGCCACACGCTACATCTGTGAAGAAGTTATTTCTTAGCTCTCCAAGCAAACCAGAACGCCCGAGCAAGGGGACTGTAGCATTCACCTGAGAAAAGAAAATAAGATGTTAAGATTGCTATGTGTTGCTAAGCATAAATGGTTGGAAGAGAACTACTTAGATAAAGTCACTGAAGCTGGCAGAAATAGAGGACAACACACTTTCTTTCCTCACCGGCCAGTTCTACACACAAGAGTAACAATAAGTTAACTGTGCATCTGAAAATGCTTGGGAAATAACAAGTATGTAGCCATAGGCATAAGGCAAAGTGGAATGACAGTGGAATATGCTGCCTTGTAGAGTAGTGAAATCTCCTTCTTTGGAGATTTTTAAACATCTGGATGGTCATCTGTTGGAAATGCTTTCTGTATTCCTGCATGGCAGGGGGTTGGATTGGATAGCCCTTGTGGTCTCTTCCAGCTTTTCCAAAGCAACATGTCATCTTCCTTCATTGTTCTTCCCCATTTATCAATCTTCCACAATCCCATAATCAACCTTAAACAATCTTGTGCCCGTCAAGTATGTTGGACTACAATTGCTACCAGGACTCAGTGGCTATGTCAGCTGGGAATTATGGTTCATAAATGGAGGTCACCAACTTGCAGAAGTCTGACCAGTAAACAAACAGTTTCTCATTGTGCCTCTTACCTTTGAAGTTTTACTATCGTCCAGATACCAAAATTTGATGTGCCGGTTTCCAGCTGTGACAAAGTAGCTGCAGTCCTCAGAGAATGAAACTGCTGTCACTTTGCTTGAGACCTTATTGGCTGCAACGACAATGTTTTTCTGGGGAAATAAAAGATATTCAAGCAAGTCAAATCTCTTGCTAAATTTAAGAGCTTCCACCTACATGTAACAAATCAGATTCATATCTCACATATTAAACTATGATGCAAAGACAAAAGAAGAGAAAAAACATATTCCTCCTCCCAGCATAACACTTTCAGTGTGCTTCCTATAAAGATCCTGTGAAGACATACAACTGAGATGCCTGCTTTTCACAGGGTTTCTTTTTATTCACATAATTAATGTATGCTTAAGGTCTGTCCAGATACACTTGTTTCTGAACAGCCTACACACATTCATGCTGTGACAAACATTTCCTCTGCCTTTGTTCAGTAGTCTCACACAATTTATTCATCATAACAAATTCTTTTGAAACAGTGTTGAAAGGAGAGGAAAATATCAAACAAATTCTCAGAAGTGGAATCTTGACTTCCTATGCTTCCCTTACTTAAGAAGTAACCAAAGGGAAAGATTTGTCTTTTATCATATTATTTCTCCAAGATCCAGCAGCCTTCCTGGCTTCCTGCATTTCAGTTGAAGCCCATGAGTGAATTTGTCCAACTCTAACAAATAAGGCAATGACAATGACTTCTAGTACGTTTTAGAAGTGTTTGTATACATGCATTTTAAAACATTTGTCTAACCAAAGAGAAAAGAATTTAGACGTACACATTTTCAGAGCTTGGTTCATACCTACAATTTCTAGAATCTATCTAGTCTGAATTCTTTTGTTCTGTAACATGCAGCTCTTTTGTTGGATGTTTAAGTTGTTTTACATGAAAATTAAATTAACAAAATTGAAGGCCAAGAAGTGATTGCTCCCCAATAGGGCTTCTTCTGTCCAGGAAGCAGAGGCAGTAAGGGAGACCATAGAGTGATGGAGAGATGTATAATGCAAAGAAAAAGCATACATAATGCCCTGAGCCACCAAAAACACCTCCAAAAGGAATTCAAGTTTGCAATACAAAGCATCCTGAGGAAAGCCTCTTTCGTGGCCTTTAAACAGATGTCGGATGAACAGTTTTAATTTTGTATTCCTGCATGGCAGGGGGTTAGTATAGATTGCCTTTGTGGTCCCTTTAAGATTCTATGTTTCTATGAGGAAAGAAAACTTTGAGGAAGTTGAAGGACAGATTATGATAGCACTAGTTCCACTTCTCCAGAAGAGGACACTTTACTATTGTCATGAAACCTGCTACGGGGATTACAAAGGAGAGGGATTGTAAGTATCTGAAAAGAAATTCCACCTCAACATTAGGAAGAGCTGTTTGATAGTGAAAGTGTGATGGAGTGTGATGGAATGTCCTTCTTTGGAGGTTTTTAAGCAGAGGCTGGATGGCCATCTGTCGGCGGTGCTTTGATTGTGTGTTCCTGCATGGCAGGGGGTTGAACTAGATGGCCCTTGGGGTCTCTTCCAACTCCATGATTCTATGAATTAGAAAAGATAAATCTACAACTGTCCTTCCGAAGTGTTATGTTTGGGAGACACTAAACCCTGAAGAATGATAACATTCTTCAGAATTAAAAAAAAAATAAAAAATCATTGTTCTAAGGAAAGTTTCAAGATTTTTCTTAGTACCTTGGAACAGAAGGCAGAATTTTCTCCATCAGTTTGTTGTGTATGTTCACCCACATATATAAAATGGTTCAGAATCTCATACAGGCATAAGGGGTATTGTAGAGGCAGTGACATCACTCAGGTTGGTGTCACCCGGCACGGTAACTCATGGTGTCACACACACCCCATTGGCCGCCTCCCATACTACGCCATACAGAATCCTTAGGAATGGTTTTTGTACTAATGTTACTCATAAATTCTATATATCACTGAATATAATGGTAATAGTTGTGACATAAACAACAAGCAAAATTAAAATTATACCTTCAAATTCTAATATCACATGCATAGCCTAAATCTATTTGTATGTACCCAGTTTCATGTGGTTAAAGTGAAAATGTGGTAAAATGTGATGTTTTTAAAGAAAAATGTAAAATTTATTTCCTATGTAAATCAAATTAATGAGGAAAGAAGTCATATTCTATCGACCTATGGTTCCGTTTGGAAAGGATTAATTCAATAGAACAAATAATGACAAGGAGATTTACTTTGTATTTCAAGATCAGGATAACTTAACTCATTCCCTGTGTTCTATGTAAGCATTTTTGTGCTGTTGATCTACCTTTCTCATGTTAATTTCTGTTTTTTTAATGAATAAATTTTATTTTTAAAATGTAAAAATAATTTTTAAAAAATAATAATAATAAAAAATAAATACATTTGAAAAACACCTCAGGCCTCTCCTTTCTCCTTTGACTTAGCCTCTCTCCACTCACACCATCTCTTTAGTGTTTTAAAGGAACACAGGTGAATGCCACAACCCATTTCTACCAAAAAGCAAATGTTTGAGGAAGAGTGGTGTCAACCTTAGGGTATCACCTGGTGCATTCCACACATACATACCCCACACACACGCCTAGTGATGCCACTGTATGGAGGATGCAAGATGTTGACCAGACCACCCATACTGTAACTGCTATTGCCACTTACAAAGGCAGCACAAAAAAACAAAACCCTTTAAAAATCTGAATGAACAAAAAAAAAAAAAAGCTAACTACAATCTCTGCTGCTGATGAATAGCTATTCTGATGAACTGCTGGAAAATTACTCTGTGGAGACTTTCTCCAAAATACTACTATGGATAAATT